GTCATAAAATGATTTTCCTAAAGGGCATTTTGAAAAAGAGATACCAATTTTTTTTATGATATAATAAGAATATTCTGTTTTTCAAATAAAAACAAAAAGGCACAAAAATATTTCTCGTAATTAAATATATTTTTATTTTTAAAGAAAAGAGAGAAAGTTCATAACTCTTTTTTGTAATTAAAAATTTATTTTAAATTTAAACAAGTAGGTTTTTGATGATTCTTTAGTCTAATTGACCTGATCATTAAAACACGGAGGAGAAAGCTCTATATGATAATCTTTTTTATTAATTTAAATTATCTAATTAACATCTCAATTTAATTTTTTTTTAGCACCTTAAACACAGATACAACGATAACACCTTTTTTTAGCATACCGAATATCGATAATCGATCTAAAAAAATGGAATTTATTATATCCAAAAACAAACTTCAGTCTTCATTTCCACTAAAAGATATTTTTTGATTATTATTCATTTAAATCCACGAAAAATGCCTTTTCAATTAAAGAAAAAACTTGTAGTGTCGCAATTTATTTTTATTGTATATGTTTTATTCTTCATTTTTAAATAAAATTAATTCCGCAACAAAAATTTAATAAAGTAAAATAAAAAATAGGAAGAAACTCATTATACTATATTTTTTCACGTAAGTTTTAATTTAGCTAAGTATTTTTTTTTATTAACAAATGACTATTTATATTAATAAATGCCTCAGAAAAATAGATGTTAAATGTTATAAAATAAATGCATGTTGATGTCCGATGAATAATTTTGCATTAGAGATCTGCAAATGGCCAAATTTCCCGGGCCAGCCCGGTTAAATTTGGGTCCGGCCCGGTTCCAATTTTTTTTACTAGGTTGCCCGACCGACTCTGATTTTCATAATTTAGAAATATATCTTATGAAAACTAATAATGATAAGGATTTAGATTTCATGATTTTCATATTAAAGCCATAAACACAAAATGTAGGAAAATGAAATGATATTTATGAATGAATGATCATAGTAGCAGGTCATAATTTGATCATAATTTTGAGCAAAATAAAAAATATTATTATATGATTAGGCTTTAGAATAATTTTCTTTCTACTGCTCAGCCCTTTAATTATTTTGCCCGGTCCGCCCCAAATAATTTTTTTCCATTACTCAGCTGACCCATAGGGAGGGTACCTGGCCGGTCATTGTAGATCTCTACTTTGCATCAGTGGTATTTTTCTTACAGTTGTTAAAATTATTTTGATTTCATTACATGAATATCATATAAAAAGATCGATTTTTCAAAAAAATTTTTATTAAAAAATACTTTTTAAGTTTAACTAATTTAAAGTGTGCCCAAAATATTTCAGATCAAAATTTATTTATCATCTTCATCTAAGTTTCATTATTTCTTCATTTTTTAAGGTTTCTTGGAGTCTCTAAATGTAATATTTTTTCAATACAAAATCGATAAATAAATAATTTATATTATTTATACCTTGGTTATCATTTCTCATTTATATATAAATATTTTTATTTATTATTAAAGGAAGCTTTCCTATTCATTTTTTTTGTTAATTCAAGCATCGTTAATCGATTTTTAATTTTTTTTAAAAAATATAATCTTTTGTTTCTATTATATGTGTTTACCTGTTGTTATGAATTCATAATAAAGATTATGACTTTTCTAACTAAAATAGCAGTGGAGGGGGAAGAAAAATTGTTTTGTATTTATAAAATTTGAAAACGGATTTTTTTTAAACTTTATGCTCTTTTTTTTCTACTTTATCTTCTTTTTTTTAATGCTTTTTCCTATTTCTTTTATTATTCCATATAAAATATTTTAAATATTGACTTTTATTACCAGTTTTTCTTGAAATATTAAAAATTAAACATTGAGGGATGGAATAAAAGAAGTGTATTTTGTAATCAGATAGAGCTAGCCTTCAAAAACAATTTATTTTTGAGCCCACACCTGGATATCCTATTACTTTCCCTTTAACTATTTTGTCAAAAAAAAAATGCAATTTAACACACATTTATTAAAAATTTATTAAGTATAGTCGGTATTTTTTAAAATAAAATATTAACACAAATTTTATTAGCATAATTATAATTTGTATAATAAAAATATATAAATGCAAATGATATAATTTTGTTCGAAGCGTTTCAAAAAATTATATTAATAAGTCTAGCACTACCATGCATGAAAATGAAACTTGGTCATCTCACTACGCTTTATCACACCAATACCATCTTTATTATTATCGTGATTTATAGAGTAATATTATGTAATATATAGGGATGTAAATAAAACAAAAACGATATTTAAAAAAAAAACAAAATGAAAAAAAAACAGCGAAAAAAACATGTTTAAAAATCATTTTAAGGAGAAAATACAATTAATTTTATTTATTTTAAATATTTAGTAAAATTGCACAATAATTACAAATTAATTAGATAAAGAATTATAAATGAAAAAATAGTATGCTGTAGAAATAATGTTTAATCTTAAAAAAAACACTAATCGAAATTTACATTAATTTTTTTTAATAAAAAAGAAGTTAAAAGTCAAGATTTTGGGATATTAATAAACATGATATATAAAATTTTTTTTATATGTGATTTAAATTTACTTATTAAGTAAATCAGGAATTTAAAAGATTTAAAATTAAAACAATTCCTTATAACGATAATATTTATTTATTTCGCTATATTTTTATGCAATATTTTATCATACCTTTTAATTTATGATACAATCTCGTTACGATTATTCGACCTAATTATATCTTAAATTTTGACATTAGCTTGAATTAGACTAAAAAATATTAAATTTTTCAAGAAAACAACTAATTAACTATTTTTTAATTTTCGAAGTCAAACATTCATTTTATTATTTGAAATCGATGATTTTGACTATTCATTCCTTGGCCTACTATTTCTTTCCTTCTTTCAGACTATAATCACAATCTTTCATAACTATCGGAAAAGAAGAAATAAGCTATTTTTTAAATATAAAAATAAAACATGTCCCAAATATTGAAAATTTTAAAAATTTAACAAACAAATTCATTAAAATTTTGAAACTTTTCAAATTTTTAAAAAAAGATTTTGTACATTCAAATTCCAATATTTTATATGCGGAAATTTTTATGAGTTAGGTAAAGCTAAAAAGGATGTATTATTGTCCCTAATCTAATCATCGAAAATAAAACAACATTACTCTAGCCCATCATTATCATAACTTAAATCTAATCAAGCCCCGGCTCAGTAACCTCCAAGCAAATAAACCCGAATTACTGATAAACTTATATATTTTATTTATTTATTTATCTGTTTCTGAACCAATCCAATAACGCATTTAAAATTTGTGCTTTTTTTAAATTTTGTTGATTTTTTTTTCTTTTTCCAATTTTTTCCCCTCTCCTATATGGAAGTAAAAAGGGAGCATTTTTTGTGACACAAATTCTATAATATAATAAAAAAAAAATTTATATTATAAAATACAACAAGTCATAATTTTTACCTTTTATATTTTACATAAATTTTTCATATATTTATATATGAAATTTTTATTTTTTAAAATACATATTATTTTTTTTATGACGGAATACTGTTGTCCACATTGATGAATTATATCGATTGCTCATTCTTCTAAACAATGAATTTTATATTTATATTATTATGATGTAAAATTGTAAATAAATATAAAATTCATGCCAATATAAAGTTTAAAAAAAATTCAAAAAAATTTCTTATTTATTTAAATTATTTATAAATGGTGATTTTTTAAAATCACTTAGTAACTTTAATTTTTTCTCGGTTCAAACCTACCCCGCCCTGCCTTATATTATAATATAATATTTTGAATTTTGATTGCAATTTCACTTCTTTTTATGGTTTACTTAAAATAATATTGTAACTAAAGAGGCCAATTTTTTATTTCAAATTAATTTCTGATTTTTTTTTTCTTGTTTAAAGAAAGTCCTTTTGTAATTTCAAAATCAAAAGGAACAAATATTGGTTTAAATTTCCTTTTTTGAAATCGAGGATGGAAAAATCCAGAATCACTACGATGAAAGATATCACGGAATATAATATATAAAAGATGATAAGATATACAATTATATAATGACATAAGATATTTTGTTTTTTATTTAGCCCACTTTATAAAGTCAGCAAAAATAAAGAAAAAGAAGAATACAAATTCGGGTCATATTAATTAAAAGTTAAAAATACAAATACAAACAATATATTTATTTCAGTAATACATATATTCATTTCTTTATGAAATCATCTGGCCTTGCTTGTTCCCACTCCGATAATAAAAGAAAAAGGAATTTCGAATCAAAATAAATTGATTTGATAATTATAAATGAATACACTTGTTAATAAATTAACAACTATTAATATTTATAATAAAAAAAGGTGGAATTATGCGGTTTATGATTAGGTATAAAATATAATTATAGTGGAATAGAAAGTCATAAATAAATTTATAGGTATATATTACGTATAAGTTTTTCTGGAATAACGATTTATTCGGAATCCTCGCCCTGGGAATTTCGAAAGATCTCAATTTTCAAATAATTTACTAAGGGTTATTTTTAAATTTAAAAAAGAAAATTAAATTTTATTGGAAAAGTTATGCCAGCATTGTATAGATAAATTGCCCAACTAATTTTCAGATAATTTTGCCATGAACCTTATATTAATTTGTATATATTATATATATAATATTTTTTCGCTATAAATTTTACAAAATACAGAAAATTTATCGCGATATGGTCTTAAATTTGTTAATTTCAATAAAACGCGTACAATTAAAATTTATTGATTTGTTTATATTTATGGTTCTGGTTTTACGTTCTATCTAGACTCTAAGACTGGACTAGAACATATTTTTAAAGAAGTTAATAAATGGCTACGGTTTGATGCTATGGATTGGACCGTGGATCTTTTATCAACCAATCATTTTTTTATAAATATAAATATGTAAATTAAATAACCAAAAAAAACAAGGAAAGGAAATGCAATATCAAATTTTTCGCTGAATCGATAAAGATGTCACATTCCTATGAAATAACATTATTCCGGCTACGAATTTAAAGGGAGGGTCGTTTTCCATCGAATCTATTCCATTTTAATTCCATATGGTCATCATATCCAGGGTAATTTTTTTTTTGTTTTGTTCATACATTTTATATTGTTTAATTCCTACTTACACAGCTTTTATATTTATTAGCCAATAATATACTAAAATGGAACTGACCTAAGTCAGATGGTTTGTTTATCATAAGTAAAAGTGTTGGACGCGCAAAGCTAAGGCCAAATCAATATTTTAAATACTATAAATAGTTATAAATTGTAAAAAGTTATAAATATTACTTTAAATTATAAAATTAACGATAAAATTTGTAAATATAAAAATTGCTCAAAATATGCAATTTCAAAATAATGTTTTGCAACACTCCATTTGTAGTTTGCTATCTTTTAACCTTATGAGCTCATAAACTCAGAAACTCTGGTAACGCCTTAGCCTGACGAAGATAAGATCTATTAAATAAAATAACAGCAACCTATCACGATAGTGGCATACAAATTGTACCGATAATAAATTTTATTTTTTGTCACAAATAATTAGGACATTTTTTTTATGGTAAGAAATATATTATTATTATTTTAAAAGAAAATAAATAATATTACCTTTCCTATACCTTTTATTATTTGTTAAACGGCTCGATTTGAGCCGATTTTAAAAACGGCTAACTTAACATTATAGCCAGGAAAATATTGCCTAAGCGTCGAGATTTCGCCAATAGATGTTCAGTCCTATGTTCCATCTATGAGCAAAATCTTTGGGGTCATAATATTTTTCTGGATGAAATATTGAGTTAGCCATTTTTAATAATCGGCTCAAATTGAGCCGTTTATAACAACACTACCTTTTATTGGTGAGATTTGATTTGCTATGATTTAGTTATTTAGTTCCTTTTTAATAAAAAATAGCAGAGACCTACACAGGTAAGTCTAATCCCTCTCTCCGGATTTTATCAAAACTATTACGCAAGCCTGGAGATTTTGCTCATAGATGGCAGAAAGGTTTGAAATATCTATTAACGAAATCTTGAGGCTTCCGTAATATTATTTTGGCTAAAATCTTAATCTAAAATTGGCGAAATCGAGCCCTTTAACAACACTAGGAGATTCAAAGTACAAGAAACGAATGAATGAATTATCATAATGTGATTTATTATTGTTTTTTAGAAAATTAAAATCATACCATTTTACGGTACGGGTACCGGGTCGGATTTCGGGTAGATTTTGTAAGTCTCTGAAAAATCTAAATATGAAAAAATACTTGGGCCGAATTCAGGGAACCTCGATAAAATAAATTTTTTCTCCTAATGCTTTTACAAAATCTTTTTTTCTAAGAAAAAAAATCAACAATTTCTAATTTCCATGAGCACCTACAATTCTCTTTAAAGGAAAAAAGAAAGAAAAACCATATTTAAAAATTTTTTTTCTGATCGGACTCCGATCTTATTTCAATGAACCAACTTATTTCTAGTGATAATAGTTTGCGCGAAATCAGACTGACCTTCGAATTAAAAAATTTGGGCCGAATATTTGAATTGGGACAAATTTAAAAAATTAATTGGCCCCGCTCGGTCTGGTAAAATAGGCTCGATTTGCGGGTTTAAAACGATACATTTGAAGTTCTAGAATGATACTTTTTACAAGATAAAATACGAATGACTACTTAGTCAATGGCTATACCTTTACAAAATTTGCTATCAGCATCATTGAAAATTAGACATGTCAAAAACGAATATGAATCGAATACGAATAGTAAATTTTATTATTCCTTACGAATAGTAAATTATTCGAATTATAAATCAATCAAACCCAAATAATTTATTATTAGATTTGCCGTTTTTGAATCAGGATTGAGGACTACTTTAAATTCTAGTTGAAATTTTTTTTCTCGTAAATTCCCCTTTGCGATACCCAAACTTATAATTATTTGTAAATTGTAGTTGAGCATTTGCTCTATTTTTGGGTTATGTTAGCTGTCTTAGGCCCAAAAACGATCACCTAGACCTCAGATTTTTTTCTTGAAAATATAGTTCAAATTTGAAGAAAGCATGATAAATCAATATTCGCCTCAATGCTTAGCGGATTTTCTTCAGACACGAGCTTAAGGATTGTACCTAATAAGACTTAAGCCATTACATTACCCAATAATTTTAAAGATTATTATTAACAATTCTCGAATGTTTTTTTTTGTTATAGAACGAATACATCTGGATTATTCCGGAAAAAGAAAGCGAGTACTCGGTTCCTGTTGGTGCTAGGGTTAAATCTGCAGAAGGGAGCAGGTACTTAGTCCAAGATGACGAAGGCCAGGTTTAAATATATTAACAGTAGAAGAATAAATACCTATAGCTATAATATTTTAATCAATAACAAAAATTAAATTATGGTTTAATCGGATCAATCAATATCCTGTCTTGTCATTATATAAAACTCACATATTTATTTTCTCGTCTATTAATTTTCCGATATAATAAATGAAAAAGCCGAGTTTAAACCTGCCATAACCAAACCTTTTTATATTATCATTCTTTAAAATAAAATTGGATTTATTAAAGAATGAAATTATGAAAACATATTTTTTTTATAGGAATACTACGTAGGACCGAATAGAAAAATAAGGGTTATGCACTCGACATCAGTTCAAGGCGTGGAAGATATGATAAGCTTGGGTGATTTGCACGAGGCTGGTATATTGCGGAATTTATTGATTCGATATCAAGAAGGCTTTATCTACGTAAGTTGCTTATAGCCTTTAATATTTATTGTACATCTAAATAGCGGTATTTTTTAATTGGAATTACTTTTATTTAAAGTTATGTTCATGTTCATAATATATGATTCCTTAATATAAAGAGAAAAAAAAAGTATTATTCATTCTTGAATTGAAAATTGGTTGATACTCTTTATCGAATAATAAAAATTAAGAAAGAAGAATAAATAAATAAAAGTGAAGGTAAAAAAAGAAATATTTAGATAATTATTATTTATTTTTTCGCATAGACTTACACTGGGTCTATCTTAGTTGCCGTTAACCCTTACGAAGTTTTACCAGTCTACACCCCCGAGCACGTTAAAATGTATAGGAAAAAGAAAATAGGAGAACTGCCTCCACATATATTCGCTATAGCTGACAATGCCTATTCCAGCCTATTCCGTGTTGGAAATCAATGCATCATAATTAGGTGGGTTTTTTTGGATTTTCTTCCTGATATTTATTTCTTTATTTCTGTCCATTTTCTAATTTGGTGTAGAATTTTTATTTTAGAAATCCTTAAAATAGTATTATAAGTAATTATTTTTTATTTTCATTCGAAAAAAATAATATTAATGTAACAAAAATTAAAGCGGGGAAAGTGGAGCCGGCAAAACGGAGAGCACCAAAATAGTATTGCAATTTCTAGCCGCTATCAGCGGCCAACATTCCTGGATCGAACAACAAATCTTGGAATCCAATCCTATTTTAGAAGGTATAATTTAAAAAAATAATAAACTCCTCCTTTCGAGAGATCAGAAATCAGAAAAAAGTTACTTAAAATCTGGAAAACGTTCAATAGCAAAACCGGATATTTAATTTATAATGCGAGCACGTCCTAACATATTTTTTATATTTGGGCAAAACATTTTTCAAAAAATTTGATTTATTATCGAGCACGTCTTAATCAAAACATTGACGTTTTAACACACATAAAATGATAAAAGCTATTGGTGCTACCGAAATAACAAAAATTGGGCTTATAAAATAAACCATCAATAAATCGTGACCAACTCGTTTCGACAAAGAGTAATATTTAAATTTGTCCCAAGCTTGTTCGAATCTGTTACTGCTACATCTTAATTTTTAACTCTTGAGCTATTGCACCATTACAAAAATAACAATCTTATTTGTTAATATCATTTAGAATATATGGTAATTGGTGTTTTATATAAGCCTAAAAATTCGGAACCCACTGATGCTTTTTTTGAGAACAGAAAATGTATAATATATCCATCATTTCAAAAATATATTAGGTAAGAGAAATTCAAATTGTTTTAATAATTTCCTATTAAAATTTGGAATCAAAATATTAAAAAACTATAATAAAGCATTCGGTAACGCCAAAACTATTCGCAATGATAACTCTAGTCGATTCGGGAAATATATTGATATTCAATTTAACAAAACGGGCAGCATAGAAGGGGCTAAGATAGAACAATACTTGCTGGAAAAGTCACGGATAGTTCATCAAGTTTAAATATTTATTTATTTTACATCTTTCTAATATGGAAGAAAGGAAGGAAGGAAGGAAGGAAGGAAGGAAGGAAGGAAGGAAGGAAGGAAGGAAGGAAGGAAGGAAGGAAGGAAGGAAGGAAGGAAGGAAGGAAGGAAGGAAGGAAGGAAGGAAGGAAGGAAGGAAGGAAGGAAGGAAGGAAGGAAGGAAGGAAGGAAGGAAGGAAGGAAGGAAGGAAGGAAGGAGAAGACCATTTCCAGATAGAATATTTTCCAAAACGATTTTTTGGTAATGTTACAAGCAATATTTATTTCCTAACATAACTTGTCTAATTAATTTTTTTTAATTATTTTGAAAAAAAAACAACTCCGGAGCCCCATTTCAAGACGCCATTTAATCGTTTAATCGTTTAATCGTTATATTAAAATCAAACCAGTTTGTTTACCATTTACGATTAAAAAAATGGGAATATGGATTGTTTTTTTTAGATAATATTATATTATATAAAAAAATTAATTTGTCAAGTTAGTATCATTTGTTTGGAAATAAAAAAAATATCGCTGGTAATATTACCCAAAAACCGCTTTGAAAAAACATTCTGTCAGGAAATGCCCGAAGGAGGGATTGGAAGGGAAGGAATAGATTGAAGAAAAAACCCCCTACTTGGCCAAAATTATTGCTATACAGTAAAACTATCCTAACATTTAAGAAAATACAAACTCCAAGCAATTTTTTTTATTATTTACGATGTATATTCCATTATTTGAATAATTATTTACTCACGCATTAAAAAGGCTCAAGACGAGAGGAACTACCACGTTTTCTATTGCATGCTTGCAGGAATGTCGGAGGACGAGAAACGCAAACTTTACTTATCCAAGCCTTCCAATTACTTCTATCTTACACAAGTATGACATGATTCGTTTGATATAATTAATTATTTTTATGGATATTAATTCTTGAACTCTGAGGATTTTGCTTTAGTATCCCATTAGTTGAGAGTGTTGTTTAAAACCTCGTTTTAACCAATTTGTAGAAAAAGGCTAAATTAAGATTTGGCCAAACAAATATTACCTAATTTTCGATATTTCGTCAAATGCTAGAAAGAGGTTTGGCAATATCTAGATGCTTTGGTAATATTTATTCGGCTAAAATCTTGCGAAGTCTTTTTTTGTTTATTCAAAATATCGCGATGTTAAATTATCGTAATTTAATAGGATGATGGGAGGGGGGGGGGGATTTTAAAATTTCAATCATCAAAAACTTGGGTGAGACATTGAAAAAACTGTGTATTAGGAGTGGACCAGATGCAACTTAGCAATGCAATAAGGATAGGGGGGATTATTAAATTGATATATTTATTATACAACTTTTTTTTTTGTCAACTTTACTTCTGTGGAAGGGAGGTGGATCCTTAGTATGCGAGGGTAGACAGGATTCAGCAGAATATCTAAATATCTTATCGGCCATGAAAGTCTTGCTGTTCGGGGAAGATGAAATATACAATATTTTTCAGTTACTGGCCATCATTTTGCACCTCGGAAATTTGAATTATAAAGGTTTCTATTTTTCTTCTTGCTTTAATAAAAAAAAATAAATGAATTTGTTTTGTTTTTTTCTATTTGGAAGAGAGTGACGGGTGGCGAGGATTTTTTTATAAAGGTTTCTAATGGTCTAAGACTCGTTAATCACCTCGCTATTGTATACTCCTTATTGAACAAAAAAATTTTTTTTCAAACATTTTAAATTTTAATATATCGAAATATATGAAATACGATGGGATTATATATATAATAGAAGGATACCACCTAATAAGAAATTAGGCATACCGGATGATTATGACGTATTTGTTCCACGTTAAAGACGGCCAACCTGATAAAGATATTGGCCAAAATATAAAGTGAGCTTAGAGATTTTACTCGTAGGTGGCAGAAAGGTTTGATCTCTATTTGCTATATCTCGAGGCTTAAATATTATACCCAAATCGGTTTTTAACAACATTAATTCTATTTTATGAGACCTTATTAAAGTCGTTCGACTTGTATAAAGTGACTAACGAAATTATGTTCTATATCAATTTTTAAAATTAGGCACCTAAGAGTTGATTGGGAACTTGAACCTTCACCTTCATTTAAAAAAATATATAATCAAATCGAAATTTTTAAGTTTTTTACAATATATATTTTATTTATAAGGAACTACCATAAAAAACTTGGACGCTAGTGAAATAGCCAATCCAAGCACGCTGGAACCTTTGGCTAAACTTTTAATGGTATATATATATTTTAGTCAAATTATTAACCTTTTACCATCAAAATTATATTTTTTTTTAAAAAAAAAATATTCATTCTTGCAGCTTTCTCGGTTTTTAGAAATAAAAATAATAATTGATAAATTACGTCTACTTATATTATAATTCCACTTTAAAAAAATTTATCCCTTGTATGATAGTAAAATCAGAGAGAAAGGTTATCAAAATCTCAAATTTAAAAATTTACCATATCTAGACAATCGATTCGGGTTAAAAAGCTTTTAAAAATGGATGAGACAGAAAGAGAATGAAAATTTATGTTATATATATTTTAAAAAAAAGTCTAACCCAAAAAAGTTAATCTTAAGAATGCCGACAGCGACCAATAAATTTTAACAAATATACATTATCAACGTATATTATATAAATTGTTAAAAAAAATGCGCAGGTCAAGCCTTCCGACCTTAATCGGGCCTTAACAACCAAAACCTTGATAACTGGCGGGGAGACGGTTATATCCACTCTAGGGGCTGAGCGGTCCATGGACGTTAGGGATGCCTTCTGCAAGGGTATATACGGAAAGTTGTTTGTTTGGATAGTGGAGAAAATTAATTGCGCTATAAAGGCTCCCCATCACAATGACAACTCCTCCGGAAAAAGTGCGAATCCATTTTATATTCTATATTATTTTCAAAGGCTTATAAAATTATACATGATTGTTTTTCTTCTGTTTTTTAGTTTAGATTTTATTATTTATTATATTATACTTTAAATTTTGTTTTTGGGGTTGAGAAAGAAAGGAAGATTTGCTTCATGCGGGCAAGAATAAAAAAGATGGCAAAAGAAATATTTGTAATAAGAAAAAAAATTAAATAAAGGTTTATATAAATTTATTTAAATATAATTCAAAAACAAAAATTAGATTTTCTTACCCCCCCCCCTCCCCTCCCTCTTAAATTTTTATAAAAGTAAACTATCACACAATATTTAAAATTATTAATTAAAAAAAATTATAATCTTATACGTATATGTTCAAAAAGAATAATCAAAAACTATTTTAAATTTAAAATACCAGTAAACCCGGATATGAGCAGCACGTATTTCTTCAGCAATCACAACTCAAAAACAAACCTGACCAATGGCTATAACGGGACCATATGTCGGAATGGCATAAACGAAGATTCCTCAAACCTCGGAGTCTTAGATATTTTTGGATTCGAAAATTTCCACTTTAACAGGTAACCAAGGTCTTTTTTTAAAAATAACGAATCATGATACCCCCCTTCCCCCTCTCCCCCACATCATATGATATCTAGACATACAGTTACAATTCCTTAATAAAGTTAGACTAGTCGTGAACGGATTAATCATATTTTTTAAATATCAAAATGCATTTATTTTTGAAAAATATTATATAGTTTCGAACAATTTTGCATCAATTACGCCAACGAAAATTTGCAGCAATTTTTTATACGACATATATTCAAGCTTGAACAAGTTCTATTATTATTTATTCAATTTTTTTAAATTAATTCCTCAAACTCGGTATGAAGTAATTTTTAAAAAATTCGAAAAGTTTCAAACCTTTCTCAAATTTTAAAATTTGTTGTTGAATTTTTGAAATTTTCTAGAATTATGTTTTTGATATGTCTTATTTTTAAATTTAAAAAAGCTTATTTATTTTCATTAAAGTTTCGAAAGTTTGTGAATTTAATTATGACATTTTGGACACAGCTTTATGACAAATGCCTAATAATAGCAAACATTTTTTATTGTATTAATGTTGTATAAATATTTTATTTCTCCTAAATTTCTCGGGAAATCATATTTGACGGTTGTACAGGAAGAGTACAACTCTGAGGGCATAAATTGGCAGCATATAGACTTCGTAGATAATCAAGAAACACTTGACCTGATAGCTGGTAAGCCCCTTCATTTGGTCAGCTTGATCGACGAGGAAAGCAGGTTTCCCAAAGGTACCGACATAACCTTGTTAGACAAACTCAACCATACTCACGCTTCCCACAATTCTTACATCAAAACGAGGGGCCACGCTTCCGCTAAGCATTTTGGCATTAATCATTTTGCGGGCCGAGTTTATTACGATATCAGAGGTTGCTATAATATTTTCCGCTCTGTCACCTCCCTTTTTTAACCAATATTTAGTCATATTGTGTGTGTTTTTTATACATGGTTTTTCGATGAATAACTGCCAGCGGCTTACTATATTCTTGATAACTATTGAGTAGTGACTTTTTTAATTGAGATGCTAACCTCTAAATTATTTGCTTAGATAAGATCAGTCTCGTTCCTAATTTAAAAGTTGGGAACATTTTGGTCGATTAATCGCAAATATTTTCTCTCAGTGTACTCTTTTTGGTTAATTTTAGGTTTTTAATAATTTTATATAAAATAATATTTATTTATTTTAATAACAAAAGGTTTCATAGAAAAGAATCGGGATACGTTTAGCGCCGATCTGCTTAGTCTCATCTATAGCACTAACAATAAATTTCTGCATTCCCTTTTCCAGAAAGAGAAGATGCTTGTAATTTTTTTAAAATTGATTTAAGTGAAACCTTATCTTTATTTCAAGAGGTGTGAAAAGATATAGGAAGGATAGATGAGCACAATAGACCGAGGAAATGCTTTAATTTAGCAATTTCATGGCTCAAATTGCAAAAAAAATAATCCTGAGATACTTAATGAAGCTTGTACTTTTCAGATAATAAATCATTATTTTATCCGATTACAAATATAATTTCTTATCTGTAAAGGGTCCGGAGACAAGAAAAAAATCGCCTACCCTAGGCCTACAATTCAAGCGTTCCTTAGATCTGCTCATGAAAACGCTGGAAACATGTCAACCATTTTTTATACGTTGCGTCAAGCCTAATGACGACAAAAAGCCAGGGGTCAGTTTAGTTTTCAAAGAATGAATAATGACAAGCCATGTTTACTTAAGTTAATAAGTGCTCAAATTCAGAATCGTTTAACGTTACATTTTTCCATAAAACGCTTCTTTGTTTAATTTAATTGGCATTTTTTAAAATATGAGAAAAAATTATATTAAAAAAACTTAAATGCCAAACTATTTTACCTTTTTATTCAAAATTAAACGTTCATCAATTTTCATGTTACAAGTATAAAATGCTTTATTTTAAATAAAACGCAAAACTAAATCGCTTCAATTTGTAAGCAAATTTACTATTTTTAGAAATGGAAATGGAGAGGTATTCAAATATAAAAATTGAATATTTTGAGTAATGATATATTACGTTAGACCACTTTCTAAACAATGACCAAAATTTATCTCATACTTCTCAAAATCATCAAATTTTTTTATAGGTAAGGATAAAATTGCAACGCTATCTAATATTAATAAAACACATAAAAAATCAATAATGTTTAATATGCATCATCACTCAAATATTTTTACTTTTATTTAATTTGAATGTACAAACTAACTAGCATATGTCTGATTCGCTACTTTCTAAAATTAATACGTTATTATTATTCAATAAATTACATTTTCAAACAACGAAGATAGCTAAACTATATTATTTTCACCCCCCCCCCTCCTTTATATAAATTATAGTATAATTCCCTTTGGGTTATTTATACTTTATAGACGATTAATTTGTTGAAATTCTTTTGAATCGCTTTGTTACAAATTAGCTGGTGAGACGCCATTTTGGTTTCCCTTATAAAAAAACAAATAAATTAAACTATGAATCATTTTTTTATAAGTTCAATATATATTTTAAATACATTATTTACAGGAAAGCAAAATGGCTTATTATCAACTGATTTGTATTAAATGATACGAACCGTCATTCTAGGTGTAGCATATACTATTATCAAGAATTAAATAATATTTTTCTTTCTTCTATATTATATATCTAGTATTTACATGATTTTTTTCAATGGCATCGCTAGCTTTTTCAACTTGAGAAGGGGAGGGGGGTTTATATATTTTTTTAGAATTTCTAACATTAACAAAAAAAAAGATAATTCTATCTAAAATGAGTAAAAAACAAATATTATATTTAAAATTAACTCAAAACAATAATTCAACCTAAAATATGCCAAGAAAAAAAACCATATCTAAAAAAATCAATATTTTTAAGGGGGGGGGGGTTTCCAAAGTTTTAAGGAAGCTTGAGCCCCTATGCGCTCCATATTAACGAAATTTCTGACTTTTTTTGTAAAACATCTCAGCTATTACATTCACATTTTTCATTGAATTAATATAAGTATACCTACTAGAATCCCCCTGTTTTTTTACGACTAGAAATAAATCGTAATGAAAAAATAAATCACATCAGATATTCGATCGGCAATTAGTCATAAAACAACTTCGATATTCGGGCATGATGGAAACTATCAGGATAAGGAGGAACGGTTACCCCATAAGGCACGCTTTCGTAGATTTTTACGATCGCTACAAGCATTCAATCCCTGTTTACGTCTTGCGTTCGGCGGGAATCACCATATACAATAATAGCAAAGACAAAACCCGAAATACTAAACTAATAGAGTCTCAGATAGATTTCAGGAAGGCGGTTAACATCATTTGTAGCAATGTTTTGGGCAACAAGGCCGATTTTCAGATAGGGCATGCCAAAGTCTTTTTAAAAGTTAAAATTATATTTTATTTTAAAAAGAATATTTTCTCCCCTATTACAGTTCAATTCTTTCTATTATTTATATCACACATATGTACAGCGTTCACATGAGCGGGGTAGGTGGCAGTTTACTTCCAATTTTTTAAAGTGGGGGATAGACATTTAATGGGGGTAAGCTAGAGCTGATTATAATTTATTGGGGGGGGGGGGGGGTTGTCTATTAAATTTTTAGATGAAATTAAGCAAAATATATTTCTGTAAAAAATTATTTAATACTTTTTTATAGACCTATTATTAAAACAATGATATTGCTAAACATTGACCAAAATATTGCATACAATCAGCCATTAATTTTCAAATAAAACTTATTTCCGAATAATTTATTGCTATCTTTTCAAATGTAATATAAAAGGGTTTTAAATCTCTCAGCAAGCTCATAATGCATTGCATTTAAAGTATATGAGGGGGTTTATTCTAAATAATTTACATTCACTTTTACATAGTTGGAACGTATAATTCATAATGTCCCGAAGACGGCAAAATATTTTTAGGGGATAGGTATATATTTTGAGGGAGTTAGCATCCTGTGAATATCCTGTCATATAGATGCTGCATACATATCTTAAAATGAGTTTGTTTCATCTGATAATCTTATCCTTTAAAATAGGACTGCCACGATTTATTCCTAGAACAAGCCAGGGAAAGGGCGCTAACGCAAAAAATAATACTCATCCAAAAGGGTGTCAGAGGGTGGATAGCCCGGAGACGCTACATTAATACGCTCAGAGCAACTCTAGTCATACAAAAATACTGGAAAGGGAGGCTTGAGAGAAGAAAATTCTTGACAATGTTGATTGGATTTTCCCGACTCGAAGCCTTGATCAAAGCCCGGAGATTGAGGAACGAATTCCTGGCGACTCAACATTTTATGATCAATCTTCAGGCCTTGTGCAGGTTTATTTTTTAAAAATGCTTAGTTTATTGATTGGAAAATTATCTTTAAATATAGGAATATTTATATCTACAGACTATTCGATAATTAAAAAAAATACAACTTAAAAAAAGATACAATAATGTTTTTATTTTAAAAATAAATTTTAAAAAGGTCATATTTTATGTTTTAAATAATTTACATGCTTTATATATTTTAAATTATTTTTAATATATTTTTTAAAATTAATAAAAGTTTAATGAATTTTTTTAATGAACCTTGAACCCTAAATGTGAAAAAGGGTTCTGATTTGGGTTCAATTAAATATCGAGTGTCGAAGGGTTTTGATTCATGGTTGATATAAATATGTAGCTATGGTGTACCTATATAAGGCTGTTTCTAATAAAGTTGGGAGTTTGAAGCTGTCCTTAGAGTTTCTCGGTTTAGGGTTGCTGAGTTTGGAAACATCAAAAGCACACTAAATACATCGAGAAAACTCAGAATATATATTTTTTATAAACGGTACAGAGTTTTACGGATATAAAGTAATATTTATTTTTTTTAAACAAAAAAAAAACAATAAGTAATTAAGCAAACTTGTTCCCTTTACACATCCATCATGATAAAATTATGTAAAAATTGAAATATAATTAAAATGCAAGTATATATGTGTAGCATATTTTTCAGTATCATTAAAGTACACTAAAATCCTTCTAACATAATTTCAAATTAATTAAATTTTATTTTTTTTATGAGTAAGCATCATATACACATTTTATTGAAAAGGTCCCCATAAGCGGTTGAGCGAAACTCAAACGTAAATGCGCTTCAATTAGGACGTAGGGTAATCTGGTAGAGAATATTAAAATAATTATGATTCAAAAATAAATAATATAGAGGATTTCTGGTACGCAAGGAAACTCGGATTAAAATCGAAGCTGCTCTTAAAAATCCTCAAAAATTTAGGAAAGATAACCACGATAATAAAGACAACAATGTATGAACAATTCAAATAGATTTATTAATTTATATAATATTATATTTCGCAAATAATTCATAACTTGAAAGTTTCTAAAAATAAGTACTACCAACATTTATTTAATAACTTATAAATAATTGAGAGAGCTTACTAATTTAGGGTCCGTAGGTCCAGATTTTAAAATTATTTTTTTTTTTTGAAATTGACATGCGAAAATCAAAACTTTTTAAATAGCCTCAATCGGGCTAAAAAAACCTGGGGGTAGGTGGTAACTTATAAAATTTTTGAAAAGAATTCCAAATTTTACCAATTAAGACTTTCACATTCACGCCAGGCCAGTGTTGACTTAACCCCAACTGGGCTTACAGGCCTCTGATATAAAGTAAATACATTAAAACCTGTTTAATTTGGGCACCGTTTTGAGATAGTTGCCCAATTTATCAAAAAATATTTAACTTTCTATAATCAATGGGAATTTGGTTGGGACTTCAAGCTTCCGTCAAATTAGGGAGTTGCCCTAAGTATTATGAGCCCAATTAGACAAGTTTTGCTCTATACAAAAAAAGTGGAAATGTAAACTATCCCTCGAATTATACTAAAATAATAGATGTTTTTTGTAAAAGGCAACTGGAATAACTACGAACAATTTTTTTTTGACACAAACATATACTCTATATCCTCGCAAAGAAATATAACTGTAACAACAATAAAACCAATGCGAAATTTAATTCTCAATCCACAAACTCGACTATGGACGAGCAAGCGACGATCGAAGAACTTTTCGGGGATTTGGATCTGGAGGCTGAAGATGATAGTGAAAGTTTTAATAATGGCGCCAACGGAAAAATTAAGGGAATCAACGATATCAAGCACATTGGCAGTAACAAAAAATTAGTGGGGCGTTCTGGCGACGAAAGTTCCATGGCCGCTCCTACGGCTTTTAAGGTTTTAAAATCGTTTTTTAAAAAAATATTATTTTTGCATTCATTTTTTAAAAAATGTATAAGCTAATTAATTAAATGGTAGGTAGGAAGGAAGGAAGAAAGGAGGGAGCGATAGAAGAAGAAAAAAAATAGAAGCATACATCGGCTGTCCATTTTTCCTCTTTATTTATGAAAAAAGTAATTTATTAAGTAAATTGCTTAACAAAAAACAACAAATATATTAAGGACTTGGAGGTATCTCGCCAAAAAGCTCTCTTGAACCACAAAAAACAGCAAGAAACCCATTCGGACGAAATATTTTGCGAAGATTTTGATTTGAATTCCTTTGACGAGGCCGAGCTATCCGAGTACAAATTCATAAAATTCGCCACTACCTATTTTCGGGGTAACGTTACCCATTCATTTATCAAAGGGGAGCTCAAGCAGCCCCTGTTACCTCACAAAAATCCAGGTTATAACTATTTTAATTATTTTTACTACAAAGAATAATGTACACAGAGTTTTTTGATCATCTGACAAAAGTTTTAAGCGAATGATAATTTGATTTTTGAAAATAACAACAATATTATAGAAAGAATTTTTTAGAAGAAGATAAGTGAAAAATTATTAACTAATTTGTATAAATAATTTAAATATACCTGGCTCAATTGGGAAATTAGTATTACATTGAATCCGTTATTTAAAAAAGTTTATCGTGGATCAACAATTATTGTTTGTGTAGTGTAATAATACCAGGATATTTGACTACCAAAATATAATTCTCTTGCCCCCCCCCCACTTACATTGAATTAGTGATTGTTATGTTCAAAAATACCTGTTGTAATCATCTGCATGTTTTGAAATACAGCTTTCTTTATGAATAAATGTGAGAAGAATTAGAGAATTAAAATGGGTAAGAAAGAAGGAAAGAAATAAATAAATAAAATACCGATTTTATTTTTTAACAAAAAATAGGTGATATACTAGCCGCTCTCGATGTCTGGATCATGATTTTAAGGTTCATGGGGGATTTGCCGGAACCGAATGACAATGTCGTGAATCCTACATATTCAAGGCAATTTTCCAATCATAAGAATGCTAAATTATCTAGTCACTCTAATAACGGAATAAGGGACGATAATACATCCGTCATGAACAAAATATACACTACTCTCTCTAGAACCGCGGTAAAATTATTTATTTTCCCTTTTATCTTATTCTAAACAAGACAAATTATTTTTTCAAATTGTTAAAAAACGGATGAAATTTGTCAACCAATAACACAATTAATTAATAATAGAATCATTGTTTTATTTTAAAAAAATTAGCATATAACCTTTATCGGAAACTGCTTAAAAAAGAATTGTTTGCATTTCACCACCTTTTAATGGTGTTTTAATGTAGAAGAAAAAAAAATAATCATCAAAATGAAATTTTTTTTGTAAAAAACGGTAGGGTTTACTTTAATCGCGAAATAAATTTACTAATTGTTTTGCCCAAATATTTTATTGCTTGATAAAGTCCTAAAGGTGTAAAAATAAAAAAAAATAACAAATATTTCTCTTAAACATTGGGTTTTCTTTATCTCTAATTTGAATTCCATTTTTGATCATTTTTACAGGAACGCTATTAAAAAAAATGTTACCAATATAAGAACATTAAAAAATCATTTAATTAATTTTAGGATATTTTTTTATCGTAAAGTTGGTGAAGGTGACTCCTAAGGATACAATTTTAAACCGATATCAGTTTCGATAATAAATTAAACCACGACTATTAAAAAAAGTCTTTATTTGTATTATTATTATAAATAAATCTTTTAATATCAACAAATTAAACTATAACCAGGGCAAAAGTATAGCAGCCGATAAAGCCTTCTCCAACAACGCCTCAAATGATAACGGCATCAACCATAACAACCAGTACAATAATAATCATAAGCCTATTGGTCATCCGAGAGAAACGCTCCGTAAAAAGCTCATTTCACTCACCCTGAAACGCAAGTCTAAAATGCCGGTCGATTTGATGATGAGACAAGACAACGGAAGGAAAGAAGATTTTAAGAGATCAGACCCGAATGGGTATTGCGTCAACGATAATTCAACTAAGCAAGGAACCAACGGTTTGAATTTTGCAAACGACGAAGAAGATACAAGTGGTTATTTTTGCATAGACCCCTCGAACCCCGTTGCTTCGCTTAAACACAAACCGATGTCTAACTTGGATAAACTGCATTTCATTATAGGTATATTAATTTAAAGTAATGTACATAAAATATTTAAAATATGGTAAATTAAAATTGAAGAAATTTTGATTAGACGATATATAAAATCGGGGGGGGGGGGGAGGTTTATATAGTTATAATTATATTATACATAAGTATTCCTTTTAACATCATCATCATTAATTCATATCACATAGGATATCTTTCTCTTTCTTATACAATAATTTAATTAAATACATTGAACAATTTGCTCACATTTTTTTTACAATATCTTATTACTTTATAATTTGTTAGTATTTAAATACATTAATTTAACTGACGTGTATGCTTTCCCCTTATTAAGAATTCTTTTATCCTTTCCATAATTCGTTCAAAATTTGATAGATATATAGGATTCCAAATTTATCCATTTTAATATACCATAATAAAAAAATATTTTAAATTATAGGCAATGGCATTCTAAGACCTCGAATTCGGGACGAGCTATTTTGCCAGATCTGCAAACAGCTGACAGGTAACCCCCACCCTGACACGAGTAAAGTTAGGGGATGGATCCTCCTATCACTGTGTCTTGGCTGTTTCCCGCCCTCGCCCACTTTCGAAAAATACTTGAGGAACTTCCTCCACCAAAATAAACAGAGCGAACATAAATTAGAACTACCTGTTAATAACTTGTTGGCCAATAATTCTAAGCGAGCCGTTTCCATAGATTTTGCTTCTAGATGTCTCCATAGGCTCAAGAGAACTCTTAAAAATGGTGCCAGAACACAACCACCTAGCTGGTTAGAACTTCAAGCCGCCAAGGCATCTGTGGCAGCAGTTTATAACGCTAAAAGAATTAATGGTATTCACTTTTTAAGTTCTAACAAAGTTTTAAAATGCTTATATTTTGATTTTTTTAAATGGTATATTATTAGTTTATTTGGAAAAATTTGCGATTTTCAAGCTTGAGGATGAGGGGGGAGGTGTGTAGAGAGTAGAAATGGAAAAAATCGCAAGCTGCTTTAGAGATCTGCAAATCTCTGCAGTCCGACCCCTGCATATCCTGGCCTTCGACCCGGGCAGAACCTATTTTTTAGAAATATTAAATAAATTCGGGCCGGGCCGTGTGAACTAATAATTTTTATTTCGTGTCAGGTCTTCGGGTCAAATAAGATAAAAATCATTCATGATCAGGCCGGACTGACTAAAAAATATCGGGCTGGGTCTGGTTTAGAAAAGTAGACCCGATGCAGATCACTAATCTACACCATCAAAATAAAGTCCGCTTCTTACATAAATATTGAATGATTAGCATTTGAATAAATTTTTTTTATAGAAATAAGCTTTAAAGTCATAAAAATATAATAGTTTTGTTTGTTTACAGAGTTTTAATTCCCCCTAAAAACACATATACATTAATACATATGACTCCAGGCAAAGAAGATCCGAGGCGCTGGTTATCGGAGAGAGAACCTCCAATAATGTTACCAGTTACTTGCATGGATGGGCGGACAGAAAATTTACCCGCCGATTGTGCCACCACTTCTCGAGAACTGTGCCATTTGATATCCCTCAGACTGGGCCTGATTTCACCCGATCTCCCCCCAGCTAATAAATTGATCAATGGCGGGGTCAGTGCGAAATTTCTTATTTTATTTAAATAATGATATTTCTTTTCGGTATTTTAAAAATATTCACTAATTTTAAGTTTATGTTGTAACATATATATAAATTGGACTTCGTGTAATTTTTTATTGCAATTAAATAAACCATTAATGCAAATTACATCAATCATAATTAATCCGATAACAACATCATAATAATACAATCATAAACATCCTCATCCAATTCCATAATCCCCAGCAATCATTCTCGAACTTTCCTCCATCTCCAAATATGATCTGGATTCATTATTCTGGTCTAGCAATCCCTCTGTTCGGTAGCTAATCACTACTTATGTGATTGTACAAGTTACAGAGATCTATAAAATCTTTATACTTGTATTCCGATCTCTAAACCTATAGATCATTTCTTCTGTAAAAAAATATCTCCCGATCTTATTTTTTTCATTCATTCACTTGATTGCAAAATAATATTATTTAGAATGGACTAATATTTAAACGTTTGTTTTATTGTTTTTATTTGTTATTTATTACACATATTTTCAATTGTCTACTAAATTGTACCGCTATTTTTTCCCCCTATATTAATTTCAAAAGACTCCTCCCAGAAACACCTTTCCAGTGTTCGGCTTTTCTCTCTACGTGGCCCTTTTCGACAAAGTGTCCTCGTTAGGAGATGGAGATGATCACGTGATGGATGCTGTGTCTCAATGCGAGCAATACGCCAAAGAAACTGGGGCCCAGGAAAAGAACGCACCCTGGCGACTGTTTTTTAGAAAAGAGATTTTTGTACCCTGGAGGGAGGAAAGCGACACTACTGAATCTCCTTACAGTATTTTAAAAGAATCGGAATATTTTTATATCTCATTTTGTTATTTTAGCGAATTAAAAAAATCGAGAAATTATATTTCGGAATAAATAAACTTTCTAAACTTGTAGTTAAATTTGGCTTAAACTTAAAGAGATCTTCTATCATTCCACACCAAAGCAATTTTTAGAAAAATAAATTAATATTTTCCAAACAATCTAACCAAAAACATATGATATATAATGATTTCAAATGCCTAAATCTAATTTTGTATCTCAAGATACTTCAACAGTACATGTTGGATTGAAACCAGGTGCCGTGATAGATCTGGTATACCAACAAATAGTGCGGGGAATAAAATTTGGTAATATTAATTTTTAAATATATATTTAAAGATGCAAATGAAATGTTAAAAAAATCAAATGTACACATTAATAATAAGGAGTAATCTCTCCACATGACTAGTTGAATAGCATCTTAAAGAACTGGGCTGCCACGGGCCATATAAATATTAAAAAACAAGGGGAAAATATTCATGAATTTTAGTATTGTCTGGGTATATTCATTCATTTATTCATGTCTTCTTATAGGCGAATACCGTTGCGAAAAAGAGGAGGATTTGGCTCTGGTAGCGTTGCAACAATACTACGTAGAGCACAAAAAAAAGTTAAACAATAATTCAACTGTTGGGGAGTTAGACCGAGTTCATCTACTTTCTGCGCTTCCTTCTTACATTCCCGATTACTATTTACAGCAGGAAGGCTCAATGGAACATTGGATGAAGAAGGTTATGGGTGTTTATCAGAGTACTACGATTTTCGAGCAGAATGTTCCAGCTATAAGGGTATGTATATATTTTTCATTGATTGTTTAGGTAATTATATATTTTTTTAGTGATTTTAAATTTAAACACTTAAATCTGATAGTTGTTTAATTATGTATCTTACCACCATTAGTGCCATATAAGTATTGAAATAGCAAATATCGAATTCGCATTTTATCTCTTAAAGTTACTTAAGTATTATTTATAGGATGCATTTGATTTGATTTTGATAGTGTAGATTTAAGGTCTAAATATAATTGTTATATAATGTATCATGATGTTTTTACAAGTCTTCATGCGTATTTAATGATAGGTGGGTAAGGATTGATAGAGATATGGCCCGAAACCCAAAAATCCAACTTACGCAAAATATTTTTTCGGGCTCCGGGTTTTTAAATATTTTCTAGAATCATGAATAATGTAAATGTATGATTTTTTTTTACTTATCTAAGATAATTATGGGACTGGGCTAAAAAAACCTAACATATAGCCTCTATAAAATATGATTTCTAATATATATTGATACTGATATACATAATAATTCGGTTATATGTCAAAATAGAATTCCCTGCGAAGTATACAAAATTACAGCATAAATTTCTGTACTTCGTTGCAAATTCGCGTTAACTGTAAATGAGGGGTAAGTAGGAAATATATTTCAGCATGTATAGAAGAACCAACAATATGGAATCTTCATATAAAAATTTAAAAAATACATTTATAGCTAAGATTGTTTGAAATTCATAGGGTATATATGTATTATAATTATATTTTAATTTATTAAAAATTATATTCACGCAAAAGATGAAGGAAGAGATAGTCAACTACGCCAAGTTCAAATGGCCCCTGCTCTTTTCCCGCTTCTATGAGGCCTCACTCATAGCATCCACCAATTTGTCTGTTTCATCTGAATCTTTGCCAGATATCTTGAATTCCGGTATCGGCCATTTGCGCAAAAATGTAGACATTATCATAGCCGTAAATTGGACCGGGTTTTAAAAAAAATAGATACTTTTTTTAAAAATTTCTCTAAACACCAGTAAATTGTATATTCCTCTTTCCTTTCCTTCCTATAATTCGATTTCATTTATGCAATATTTTCCATTTTAATCATTTTTTTAAAATAATAACTTATATATTAACGATTTTTTTCCTTTGCAGTTTTTATGTGGTGGATGACCAGGAGAGAGTTTTACTAGAACTTTCGTTTCCAGAAATCGTCAGGTGTCAGGCCCTCTCCTCTTCTAACCAATTGTCTGTACTCTGTATTTCGACAGCCAAACAAGAATCCATGGTATTTAAATGCAGTGGCGCGCGAGACGTTTCTCAACTCATGAACTACTTTTTGGGAGGTCTGAGGTACCGATCGAGATACGCTATTGCCTCTACCGATTTCATAGGTATATTTTTAAGTGTTTTTATTGCATTATGCGTTTGTTTTATCTTTAAAAAATATATAATTTTTTCAAAATTAAACATTGATCAAAATATAAAACTTTAAAAAAAAATACAGAATCAGATCCATCATTCCTGTCTTGTCTCAAGGGTGAAATCATTCAACTCGACAAACCTTATGGCAGCTATCTAAAGGCATCGATTAATGCCAATAATAGTAATAATTTTTTTTATCACCCGAACGCATTATTACTAGCGTTTTAAAAATCATATAAATTTCTCACGTTGTGGAATCATCCAGTATTTTTAAAAAATTTTATGCTATGCTGGAATTTTTTTCGTCCTAATATTTGAAATTCTTTTTTAAAAACCCCTTATATGCCACTCAGACAATTGTGATATCTACAAGGTATATAATATCTACGATAGTTTGAACCATCACCAAAGTCACGGTAATAACAAATCTAACAAAATGTGGCTTTCGGCGCTCTCCTTGAGCACGCAAAGAAAAGGGGAAATTCCGTCCAACGCGGTTTACGTTATTCCTTGCTTAACCTGTCCAGACCCCGACACCTCTAATTTACTTGCCACGTCTATCAAAGCCCAAAGTGTTAATCAGTCTATCTCGGACGTCGATCGAATGCTAAGTACTTTGGGGTGCGCCACGCTCAATAATGCCGTGTACAGATCAGCAACAGAATTTCGGAGGGACGCTGGTGGGCGAGATGAAACAGTTGATACGATGGACAGCGTCAATGCTAATAACAGACCTCACGATCTGAGACGTTTTGCCTTGGAACATTTCAGGAATCGGGAAAAGTTTAGCTCTCTTTTAATTTTAAATGCATTCGACATAATTATTATAAAAGAATAAATGCAAATCATATTATAAAATTATATCATTATGCCCAATATTTCATTTTTTTCAAATATTAGCTGATTATTTTTTTTAAGCCTAATTTTCTATTCATTCTTTAACCCATCTATATAAAAGAATTCAAGCTCCAAAACGTTCATTCGGACAGACACTTTCATCCACGTTAAGCCGAAAAAATCCGCTTAAAAACTTTATGTCCCACATATCTCACAATAACCCAGACCCGAATACTTCTTCCAATATCAATCCACCCAGATCTCCCCCCTCACCCAGTCAAATGATTTATCAAGACAATAGCAATACTTCGGTAACTCTTTCATTTAACGGTAACCACCACGAAAACAATAGTGGGGAGGAATGTTTATGGACGCACGCCAAAGAACCCCTCATATCCCCTTTGCTCAAAAAACTGGCTGGGAAAGATCAACTGTGTCACTTTGCTTGTTCGATCTCCTTATCCATCGCTAAGTACATGGGGGACCAGCCTCTGAGACGCAAGCTTAACTATTCCCACTATCATCAACCTTACAGCGCTGTCCTATCTTCACCCTCCTTAGGATATGCTAGCAATGAATCGCCTCCTTTGCCACTACATTCTGTTGATTTGACAGATCAAATATTCCAACCGGCATTGAAAATGGTTTATTTTTTATCTTATTATTTGTTTTTAAGGTTAAAATAATGAATACCCCCCTTCCCACCTTTTAACAAATATATTTATTTTTTTTAAAAAAAAGGTATACGAATAGGAATGCCAATATAAAAATATGTGGAAATTTTGTTTTAAAAATAATCACTAAACTTTTATGTTATAACTGCTCTTATGAGATAAACTTTATTTTTCCAAATTAAATTTACTTAAGTAAAATATTTTATTAGGAGATTCTGAGGGATGAGATTTATTGCCAACTTATCAAGCAACTCACCCAAAATCCCAACAAGTATATCCCTTAAAATACGTTATTTAAATATGTTTTACACTTTTTTATGCAAATTTGTTGAATTTTGGTCATCCATTAATTGTAAATTAGTTTGATTTTAGAGATATCTATAAATAAGATAGAAAGATGAATGTCATTTATTTCAAAAAAAAAATCAAATATTAAACAAAAAAGGACAAGCGAAGAAAGGGGTTGGGAATTGATGTGGCTTGCCACTGGTTGTTTTCCTTGCTCACGTTTAATTTTACCTGAACTGACGGAATTTCTAAGGACTTCTCATTGCGCATCTAGCCTTAACTCACCATTTAATCATAATTATCGGGGATTGGGAGGTAAATTTATTTTTTAAGTTATTTTTTATATTGATCATAAATATTTTTTGGAAAATTCTAAAAAATTTGTCATGCGTAAGTAAGATATTATTCCTATTAGTCGTATCGTTTGGAAAAGACAAAAATATGCTTTACACGCTTTACTTCTCAAAAAATTAAATAATTTTTACCGGTATTATTGCAATAGTGGGTGTTACAAAAGATTCGTCTATAGCTTTGCGGAGGGACTGTCTACTACGATTACAAAAGACACTAAAAGTGGGACCGAGAAAATTTCCTCCTCATCCTGTGGAAGTTGAAGCTATCCAGCGCAAAACGACTCAAATATTTCACAAGGTCTACTTTCCAGATGACACAGAACAGGCTTTCGAAGTCGACTCCGGTTATTATATAATTTGATTTTTTTAAAATGAATAATTATTGGAATTAGTTAATTATATAGAAATATTATGTATATTTTTGACACAAATTTTTTGAATTATTTTTTAAAATAAAAAGGCACGAAAGCAACCGAATTTTGTTTTCACATCTCTCGACGCTTAGGCCTGATTACGTCACAGGGCTTTAGCCTTTTCGTCAAAATAGCGGATAAGGTTTTTAAGTTGATACTCTTTTATATTATGATAAACAATTTCAAATCTTATTTTTTATTTTGAGAAAGAAAGAAAGAAAAATGACCTCCAATATTTTTTTGGGAAAAAAATATATATAAAAAATCGTATTTTTCAAAAATAATATATATTAAACGAAGGTTATAAGCGTGCCAGATCAGGACTTTTTCTTTGATTTCGTGAGGCATTTAACGGATTGGATCAAGAGAACTTGCCCCAACCCTAATAACTTAGGTACCCCCAGCCTGAGCAATATGAACAATTCTAGTACTATCATTTCGCTCAACTCCTTGAATTCCTCGAGTCAGATGGGTCAACAATCTCAACCGGCCTTAACTTACCAAATATTTTTCATGAGAAAGCTTTGGCTTAACGTAGTTCCAGGGGTTGATAGGAACGCTGACCTCATTTTCCATTATCATCAAGTTTTTTTTCTCTTTTTTTTACTATTTGATATTAGAGAATAGAATAAATAACTATTTTATTTCTTTTTTAATCGACATTTTCATTTTTTGAGAACCTTCTTATAAGACTTTGGGACTTGTCCTTTTTTGAATTGAAAACACTGTTAATTTTTTAATTCTCAAAGTAAGTTTTGAATATATATTTTCCTTCGTGTATTTGTATAGGAAGTACCAAAATACCTAAGGGGATACCACAAGTGCAACCCAGAAGAGGCCAAAATTCTTGCCGCTCTAATATATCGCGTCAAATACGATTGCGATTCGAGTTCGCTGACTATTCTGTCATCCTTCTCCAAGGTGGCTAAGGATCTGATCCCTTCTTATATGCTTAGTAGGCAAGATCATAACAGTTCTGTGGTTATGGAAGATTGGAGGAAAGGCATAGCTGAGTCTTACTCTCAAACTGTGGGTCTCACACCTGAAGAGGCTAAGATCGAGTTTTTACGGAGAGTGTATCAATGGCCTACATTTGGTTCCGCCTTTTTCGAAGTCAAGGTTGTTGTTTATTATGTACACTTTAAAAACCATGTCTTAATTAATAATAAAGATAAAAAGAAAGAAAAAAGGAACAATAAGAAAAAAATTACTAAAAGAAAAATGAAATAATCAAAAAAAAAGGAAATACTTTTTTTTAAAAAATTTACATATTTCCTTTACATTTTAAGCAAACCACCGAGCCAAATCTTCCCGATTATCTGATAATCGCGATCAATAAAAACGGATTAACTCTATTAGATCCCATCACTAAGGAAACCTTATCAGTTTTCCCTTTCACCCAAATATCGAATTGGAGTAGCGGTAATACCTATTTCCATATAACCATAGGCAATTTGGTGCAAGGAAGCAAATTATTGTGCGAAACATCCTTGGTAAATTCAATAACAAAAAAATAAATTTACTTCCTAATATTGGCATGGCGAAGGGTAGTGTAAAGTCTTTTTTAAAAAATTCTGAATGGATTTATATAATGTTTATTTGAAATCAATGACATTATAATTATAATCCTCTTTAACGTAATTTATTAGTGATTTTTAGTTATAAATTTTTTTCCTTCAATTATTTTTATTGCCTGCTAATTATACTCATTTTAATATAAGTCAAAAAAAGTAAATAAGAAGTACATACAAGGTGTAAAAACAATCATGGTCTCTCTGAGATATTTTATATCATTTATAATATAATATCTAATAATAATTAGTTGCTAAAATATATATATTTTTTTAAAAAAACGCCTAAAAAATTAAATACAGGGCTACAAAATGGACGATTTGTTAACTTCCTATATTGGACTCATGCTTAGCACTATGAACAAGCAAAGGATCAAGGCTAGCACTATGAATCTCAACAGACTTTGAAAAAATAACAAATCTCATTTATATATATTAAATTTATGATATTTTTATATTATAGGGAAATGGAGGAGCTTTTTGATAAATGCATTTACAAAAAATTATATTTTTTTATATATAATATTTATTATTTATAATAACTATAAGCTAAATCAAGTGTTTTTTTAAAAAAAATTTTTATTTATATTTTCCCAAATAATTTAGTCTTTTTTAAAAAAAGTATTTTGAAATTTATATACATTATACTTTTTTAGATAAATTTTTAATATTTTAAACATTTTTGTACGTTTAATTCTAATATTTTTGATAAATTATCATAGAATAAATTAGCCTCGAAAATGCGCATAAAACTTAAGTCATTCGGAAATTCCCAAACTGAAGACTTTTTTTTTAAAAAAAATAATATTTTATAACGGCCCCAAATATTTTAATGAAAGTAATAAAGGTGTTTGTTTATAAAAAAGAATAAAATAAAATCCATTTTGAATAATAATTTTTAGGAAATTTTCTAAAATTTGATGTCAAAAGTCCGCTTAATGGTTGATCATTTCTTTTTATTTCCATCATTTGAGATGCAATGAAAATTTAACCCAGTTAATAAATGTATAAAAGCTACAAATAATTCCTTTATAATATCGAAAATTTGGAAGAAGGGAAATAATGAATTATATTCAACTTATTGTTATTAATTAAGCTATATTTATAAACTAGTCAAGTGATAATTCAGGATTCTTTATAACATTTCCGTTCACAAGGTCTTCACTTACTCTTTTATCATTTTGATTTCAGATTTTTGCATAAAATTAAAAATAATTGGGTTAAAACGGAAAGTTTAGAGAGATATGGGGTATTAAAAGGTTGGAGAGATTTGGGGTGTGATTAAATATGGGTTAGAGTTATCATTTATATTAAAAAAGTATGAGCGAAAGTCGGATTTGGTATTTGCCAGATAAAAATATTTATGAGATAAGGAATATTAATTTATGTTTTTTATTTTTTTTAAAAAAATTTTTCCTAAAAACTTATAATTAAATTTAATATTCAAATTAGACAAGTTTATTATATAATTATTTTTTGAACCCTAATTTTCGTTAAAAAAAAATATTCCTCCTGCCTAGTTTTCTAGATATAATAAGAATAGCTAATTTTTTTTAACTTTAATTTCCAAATTAAATTTATACATACCTCATTCTCAACGTCTACCTGACAGGATTTTCACTGAATGCAAACCCCCTCACTTATGCCTACCCCCCCCCCCCCCCAAAAAAAAAATTTTCGCCACCTACCGAGCCTATATTTCCACATTATTAATTATACTTTTTTAATTATAATGGTATCACCTTCATAAATTTTAAAAGAATGACTTACGACTATCAAAAATTGTGAATATAAAGTTATTTTTTAGAACATAAATTCATTAAAAACTTATTAATTAAACAGCAATATATTTTGCACTATTACATCTAAAAATTTAAAAGATAACCCCTCAATAAATTTATCATAACCCCCCCCCCCCTTCAAAAAATTGGATGCAAAGTACCCCCCTCCCGCATTCCTCTCTTGTAGCTCTGCTCATTCTACAGAATCGATATTTCAGACCGAACCGGAAGCCAGCAGGTCTGGACCAAAAATGAAATGTTTTAAATTTACGAACCTAGACCTGTACCAAATTTCGCAAAATTTTTATCGGTTCAAAAACCCTGATAATTTTTAGTTTGGCCAAGCGATATCTCAAAAAATATGCATAATTTATATAACTCCACGTAGTTAACATAATATTATATATTTATTTTATAGTAATATATTTTATTGGCTTTAGTGTTATTAAACGGCTCGATTTGCGTCGTTTTTGTAAAACGCTAGCTCAATATTGTAGGCGGAAAAACATTACGAAAGCCTTAAGATTTAGCCCATAGATGCCACAAAGGTTTGGACATCTATTACCAAAATCTCTAGGCTTGTGCAATATTTTTCAGGCTAAATTATTGAGTTAGCCGTTTTTAAAAATCAGCTCAAATCGAATTGACGTAATAAAGAGGGGGTGGGAAGGGAAAGTTTTATAAATATCATTTTAATAAGTAAAAAATTATTTCTTTTAAATGTAACTCGACAAAAAAAACAGAGGTTAATCCTGGATTAAAGAAAATCTGTTCCATATATTTAAAAAAAAGAAGTAATTTTGAGAATATTTGTTATATCACATAGGAGATAGGTGGAAAGTGGATAGATGATCAATAACGATATTTAAGAAGGAATAAGTATTTCGTTTCCAAATGTTTATAAGGCATGGTGCCATCTAGTGGATAATTTATATTACATGTATAATAAATCTTTAACAAAAATCAGTGAATGTTAAACATAATATTTCATTGGGAAAAAATTTAACAAAAATATTAGCATCCAAATTTAACCCCCCCCCCCCCTGTTAATCTAGAATGTTGTAAATTTTTATAATTATGGGAAAATAAAATTTAATTACCATTTTACATTTCAAAGAAGACACGTGGAGTCTGCTTTCCAAGGATTATACAGCATGTTATTAAAATATATGATACCACATCAAATTTTGTTACTAAAAAAATTAACCTAGGTTATATGGCTAGCTATATAATAGAATCAGAAAAACTCGATTCTAAATAATTATTATGTACTATTGTTTTGCCAAAAATATTGAATTAATTTAAAAAATTTTTAATTTAATATGGTGATTAGATTTATTATTATAAGTACTTTTTATTAATTAATATATAGCAAAACTTTAATATTTTTAAATCTAAATTTATATTATTATAACTCTTTTAAAAAAGATAGGCGCATTCATATTTTTAAATGTCCCACGGATAAACTTTTACTCTTGACTTCTAAGAGCCATATTCCCAACCAATGTTTAAAAGTTATGTGATTGATTGGTTTGGCTCTTTATTTATTTTATTTTTGAATACATATTTAATTATTAAACTTTTAAAATAGGAAATATAAGTAAATAAAATATAATATAGCCACTTTCTGTTTTTACCTTAAAAACATCGTCTACTTGTACAGTATTTTACATTTATTTTAACTAACCCGTTAACTTACATTTCAAGAATTTTGAATATGATAATTCCTAGCACAGTTTACCCCCCCCCCCCTTTTATAAAATATATAAGTTGGTATTACAATATTTAACATATCTCATTCTTAAAATGTATCATTAATTAAAGGTATTAATTTGATATTTACCAATCATCTGATTATCTTTTCGTTCTGAATTCAAAAAAAGCTTCTTTTATATAAAACACAAAAGAGCATTTAGAGAAATGTTTTGTCATCTACATATCTATTATATTCTTTAGTGTTGTTAAGCCGCTCGATTTGAGCCGATTGTAAAGCTGTTAATTAAATATGTTAGCCAGAAAATTATCGCCTAAGCCTCGATGATTTTGCTAATAGATCTCCAAATCTTTGTACTATTTATGAGCAAAATCTTCAGGCATGCGTAAAATTTTTGTGGATAAAATATTGAGTTAACCGTTTTTAAAAATCGGCTCAAATCGAAAAGTTTACCAACACTAACATTCTTAATTAGTAATATTAATATAAAATATACAAGATTTTTATAAAATCGGAATTATTGCCTATTCAGGTAAATATTATACTTATTTTTACTTCATGTGTTAGGAGTGAGATCAATACCATCAATATAAAACATTCGAAAATAATAAAAATCAATATTATCAATACATTAAAATTTATACAACAATTTTGAAAAAAAAGTATTGTTTAAGAAGAAATTAATATTTATTTCACAACTATCATTTCTCTCGCTGCATTAAATTTAATTTGATTGAGAATTTGAAAATTAAATTTTAACCACTGAAAAAATAATACAATTTTTTTTTAGAATTAAAAATAAATGAATTTATTTATATAAGTTTAGGTAAAAAAGTTTACAGGATTGGGGTTTTTCTAATAAAGAAACTAATCCGCTGATTTCTACAGCACGACAAGATTAAATTTTCAAAATTGCATGTCATGTCAAGCGGGGAGTAGTTTTTTTCATAGTTTAAAAAAAATATAGTTTTATTCAATCTTGAATAATATTAGCCTCGCCCTAGGTATATCGCGGCATTACCGTAGGTAGATTAAATAAGGTTTTTAAATCTAACAAATTTAATTTAGGACTAACCTTCAAAACTATGATAGATAGGAATATTTTATATAAATATTTAAAAAAATCTATTTTTTTTATAATTTGTGGACTTTAAATGATTCAATCATTATATTTAGTTCATATACTAATGCCAGTTACACATTTATCTAAAAAAAATTTTGCAGTTTTATGAAGATAACATAAGAGCTATTTTTGCTGAAATCAAAAATACTATTCACAAGTAAACCAAAATAAAATTGCTGTTTAGGTATATAATTAAAATTTAAAAAAATATATTTAATATTCTTTATATTTTCTAATGATTTAAACCCAACTTCGAGAGCCCGATTTAATTTTAAATCTTAACTCAATTATTTTAGCAAATATAAGCAAGAGATTTATATATCAATCCAAATGTATCATACCACTTTTCATCTTTTAAAGTTTCAATACTAAATCATAATGCTATTTTCTTGCTTGAAAAAATCACTTAATGATTCAAGTCACTGGCATTAAACAAATTTTAATAACCCGGACATGAAGAAATGAAATATTGTTTTTTATTATATAAAGAAGTTAATTAAAAAAAAGTGAAAACCTAAAAATTATTATTATAAAAATAGAATATAACCAAAGACCTACAATAAGTTGACTAAAGACAGGTTATTTTTGTTACTTTCAATTAGCGCTTTCATATCCTCTTCTCGTCTCTTGTGTGCCCCAATGAGTAAACTCACCGAAATCCTGACCCTTTGCTTGCCAACGATAGGTCTTTAGAAATCTTTTTTGTTATTCGATCCCCCCTCATTCGTGCCCCTTTTAATTGATAACTCCTTCGCATACTTTAAATCGAAGAGTCTCGAGGACAATTTCCTACTCTATCTATCTCCACAGAGAATGGTTTTATTTATCCAAGTCTTCCCACAGAAATTTAAACCACTGCTAAGCAACGATTAGTTATGTCGTGCGCGTGCCA